CGATAAGTCGATATCCAATATAGCTTAGTGGTGAGGTTTCTAGCAATCAAAATTTGAAATGTGTGTACTTGAGGAGTATGGTCCAATATATCCAATTTACTATTAAATGAGCAAGTATAAAAGCTGATGGAAAAAAGGGAAGAATGTAGAAAAAATTAATTTAAGATTTTTACCTTATAAGACTCAACAAATAACCTTAATGAATTTACTAATAAACAAATCTGAGGAGCGTATATCCATTAAGGACTATGCGTTCAGGAGGCTCAGATTTTTGGACCCACAGACCTTTACGGATTGTTTTGTGTTCGCATAGTCTCTTCTGAATAGGTCGATAGACCTTACGACATGAGCACAAAATTTTGTAGCAACCTGGTCTAGAAGAGTCTAAAAATTCTCTAAACTAAAGAACTACCGAAGAAAGTATTAATTTCTCTTAATACATTGTTTTCATGTTCCACATTCTCAGAATATTACGCAACTTTTCGCAAGCTTATACAATGGCAAAATCAGGCATCGAGTAGAAATATCTGATTATCTTCCCCCCAGATGGCAAACTCCCCTCATCTTTTTAACGACAATTGATATGTAATTGTCTACTAATCCTAATTGGCAATTGTTTTGAAACAGTATATTCCTCTATCTATAAATCTCCTGGTCCCTGTGGTCTATGTGGGAGAGACCTATCGACCTATTCAGAAGAGACTATGAGAACACGAAACCGCTTGTAAAGGTCTGTGGGTGCAAAAATATGAGCTAGCAGAACACATGGCAAATACAGGACAGTCAATAGACTAGTATAAAATACAACGCTTAGCGGATTACGGGGATTTCACGTCAAAGCGTAAGATAAGGGAATTTATAAAAGTTAACAAAATAGCTAACTTCGTGAAGAGAAGGAACGAATGTAGAAAACTGAGTAGGAACTAGTTGTGTCTGTTGGATACACTTAAGGAGAGGGAGAGAAAGGGGGTACAACAAGAGCCACTTAGCAAGAGGAGGCGGGATTAGCTTCGATTCTAGCCATGGCTATCATACTTCTCATGATATAAGCATTACATATACACAATATACAATAGCACAAGCCCAAGCATTAATCAACATTTAAGGATCGTACACTAGTTTATATGCGTAAAAAAACAGCTGCCACCGAATGTACATCCGGTTCGGGAAGTTACTTCACTCATCTGTAAGCATGTAGACGTTAGGCGTATATAAAAGCGACTGGGGCTGCAGCCGGCCACCTTTTCTCTTGTTTTAGTTTATTTTTGCTTTATTTTGTGAAGTACTGATGCCTGTCAGAGTACAGACGAAAACTTAGCACAGTTTCATCGGGGTCGCAAGACGGTAAACCAAGGATTTCTTCGCACAATTCAACCGTCTTCCCCACGCGGAAATCCTTCTATTTTCACTGAGACCACATTGCGAATTACGTTCAGCCAACTTACCCTTCGAAATGGAGGGTCATGCCACATAACTGACACGCAGACACGCAGACACGTACCAAAGTAAAAGTACTATGGCCTATATAAAAGATTAGCCAAACCATTTATCTATGTCTGTACATTTTTATTTTTTAGTTATGAGCATATAATATGCAAAATAGTCGGGCAATCTGCTTGACCTAATGTTAGCATGGAACTTTTACAATAATGAATTCGAGGTCTATGATATGATGACCCGTTTTCACCCGAAACGAGGGAGAATATCTAGTGGACTGCGTCAACCTGAACGCTGTATTAAAGTCAAGCGGTTGCGGTGCGACGGGAATCCGCTACAGTCTTCCGGTGAGGTCAACCTCAGAAATTACTTTGTCGTGCGCTTTCGTACGAAATCAGAGTATTTCCTTTAATATAAAGTGTTCGTTGCGAGTAAGTTTCAAAAATATCAAAAAGTATTGAATGGAAATGCTTATATCGGTAATAAGAGTTGAATTTTCCCACAAAGAAATGAGTATTTCATGAAAAAACCTTTCATAAGTCAAGATTAAGTGAAACCTAATTACACCATGATACCCACTAATTTCGTCAACTTTCAGGCTTTAAATCACCCTAAGGAACCAAGGTTACAAAAGTTTTTAATGCAGGATTTATATGACTTACTGGCATTATCCTCGCTCGGCTTCCAGCCGATAGCCGGAGCCAGGCCGGGAAAAGAGATTGCCGCTATCGCCTGTGCAAGTTTTTCTCGGAGCCGGTTTACCTCTCGTGTACCTCGGAGTCGACTAGCCTCAGCTAGAGCTTTCTGTTTACGAATAGCATCAACTGCAGCATTCAAGTCTCCAGATGCCTGATCAAGCTGACGCTGCAGAGCCATCTCACGAGCCACCTGTTCCTGGCAGCGGTGCCGATAACGACTGACTAACGACAACGCGTTTACTAAAGCCTGACGCCATTCAACTGGACTAGTTACAACATTTGGGCTGCAAGTGGCCTTGGACAACAGAGACTCGGGACGAATCAGCCCATGCATGAAAATCTTAAAGATAATATTTAGAGGGTAGCAGTTTTGTAATGGCAACCAAAATATGATATAAGCTTGTAGTTTAGATTTTTTAAAACTTCTGTATAACGGAAAACATTTATGAGATGTCGAAACTTCCAAATGAAGGCTAATCTGTGAATATTGTGACATGACTTTCCATTTAGAGAAAATGTTGGTTGGAAGGAATTCGTGATGTAGTCTAATCGGAAACCGAAAAAGGATTGTTGCGTAGGTTAGACTGTTGAATTGTGCGAAGAAGTTCTTGGCTCAGCGTCCTGCGACCCCAATGAAACTGTGCTAAGTTTTCGTCTGTACTGTGACAGGCATCATTGGAGCAGCTATCCATACTTCAATAAATAGAGCACAAATATAATAAACCAAGAAAAAAAGGTGTCCGGCTGCAACCATAGTCGCGTTTTATATACCTAACTTCGCGATAATTATTAAGCATCCCATAAGTTAGTTGGCTAATCCAAATGTACTCTACATGCTTGCAAATAAATTAAATAACTTCCCGAACCGGATGTGCGTTCGGTGGCGGCTGTTTGCTTACATAAATAAACTAGTGTACGATCCTCTTTCGTTGAATCATGTTCGGGCTCATGCTATTTTCTATTGTGTTATGTAATGTTCATATCATGTGAAGTGTGATAATCCGAGTTAGACTCGAGGTTAATCCAGCCTCCTCTTGCAGTGGCTATTCCTAAACTCCCTCTTTCTCCCTCTCCTCAAGCCTATCCAGCAGTCACAAATCGTTCTTACTCAATTTTCTATACTCATTCCTCCTATTCACGACATTGGCTGTTTTGTTAATTTCTATAGACTCCTTAATCTGACGCTTTGACCTGAAATCCTCGCATAAAACCTTGTAACAGCCTGATCTAGAAAGAGGGCCCGAATATTCTCCTCAGTAGATCACTCAACTTTTTCGCAAGCTGACAGAAGGGTAAAATCAGGAAACGAGTAATGGTCCAATTGTCTATCCCGCTCAGATAGCAAACTCTCATCATCTTGTTAACGACAAATGATATGTAATTGTCTACTAATCCTAATAGCTAATTATTTTGGAACAATATATGCCTCAATCTACCGATCTCCTCGTCCTTTTGGTTTACATCGCAGTAGAAACTATTTTTGGCTGTTGGATAGGCTTAAGGAGGTGGAGATAGAGGGAGTGCAGGAAGAGCCACTCAATAAGAGGCTGGATTAGCCTCGAGTATATCTAGGACTATCACACTACATATGGCATGAACATTACATACACACAATGGAGAATAGCACAAGCCCAAACATGAATCAGCATTAGAGGATCGTACACAAATTTATTAGGGTAAGGAAATAGCTGCCACTGAAGGCACATCAGGTTCGAGAATAACTTCACTCATCTGCGAGCGTGAAGCAAATTTGGGATAGCAAACCAAATCATAGGATGCTTCATTAAGATCGCAAAGTTAGGTGTACAAAAAAGCGACTAGGGTTGCAGCCTGTCACCTTATTTTTCTTGGTCTACTATATTTTTGCTCTATTTGTGAAGTATGGGTCCCAGCTCTGATGATGTCCGTCATATCACAAACAGAAGCTCAGCCTGTCTTCGCCAAAAATGTCTGAGGATGTCTCGTAGGCTGCATCAACCCGAATGTCCCATTAATGCCAAACGGCTGCAGTAAAACACGAATCAGCCGGCGTCTTCTGATGAGGCTGACCTAGGAATCTCTTCATCATGTACTTCCAGACGAAATGGAAGTCTTCAAAACACTGTTAACCACAATGAACATAAAGTCAAGAGCATCAAGATCCCTTCAGTTAAGTGCTTTATGTTATTGGGGCATTTATCCGGAGATGCTCCTTTAACAATGTTTATCATTTGACTCATTCTCAGGGTTACACATAGACTTAAATAATGAAAAAGCAATAGATTGAAAACGTGATTTACCTCCTTCGCCCTTTCCTCAGTGAATAATTGTGAACAGGCGTCGGGCCCCGTTGAAAACAATGTTCTTTCGGAATCAGGAAAGCCAGAGAGATGGTATGTTTGCGTTGCAACGGAAACACAAAACGGAATAGTGGGGCCCCAACTATCAGATAGAGCAGGGCGAGAGAAAATTTCTAGACTCTCAGAAAGAGAAAGATTCTGCCGATCTGGAATGGCAATGCAGCTCTTTTTTGATTTTAGGCAAGGGATACAAGTCTTGCAGGCGTTAAACTGTGATTCTGGCAGTTCATAGTAGGCTGGTGGAGAATCCAGAGTGGTGGGGGATAGAGAAAAATGTATGCTGTTCTCCTGTATTTATGAGCAATCAGAAACAATAAGTAAAAATAATGCATAGTTCGAAATATGCAAGGTATAAATGGCAAATAAAATTTAGGCAAGGAAGGTTAGGGAAACAAAGTAACATATATAGCATAGCTATCTTTAGTTACAGGGCTTCGAGACTTCATTTTATTAAATTCAATGCCCTCAGAAGGGTAAAACGAAACTCTATGGCTAATAGAAGTGGGTTGACCTCGTTGTCGCAACTTGGTCTTGTTGTCAGGGTGACTTAGTAGAAGGCACCTGGACAATTAACATTCAATTAATTGATTCAAGGTTGTCAACGATAAAAGACTACAATGATTAATCGGAGATCCTTAGGACCCTAGGTTCACGAAAATGAATGTCAAAACAACAATAGAAAATATTGAAGAAAAAATCATTATTTAAATTAGGACGAAAGACATTTAATTTGCCACGGCCTCATTGATAGACACAATAACTTATTCAATGTATCTGGTTTGTTTGAATAAATTTTTTAGAGTAAATATCTATAAATGTTAAATTTAGTATATGCTAGGTACCTGCAAATTATTTTACATAGACTTGGGCTATAAATATAAGTGCATTATGTGTACCTCCAGTTCCAAGAGCGAATTTTGATCGGCCAATACTCGTCTAAGCCGAAGGCGCAAATTGGTTGCAGTTGCCACAGCGCTAGCAGCTCGAATCTCCGCCTTAGCCAATCGCATCTCGGCCGATTCAAGTTCTGCGAAAGCAGAATCCAGGCTGGTAGTCAGCTCTAGAATAACGCTCAAATGGTCATGACCAGTTTCATTCGGCTTAATTTAGGAAAAAAATAAAACACTTTTTCTAAAATAATTTTCAAATAAACAAATTAGGAAGTAGATTCTTATTAATTCAAATAATTTAACATTAAAGAGGAAGCAGTGAAAGGCTACTCAATTAAAAAAATAACAATCATGCTGCGTATAGGGTTAAAAAAGACGCAAATTTTTTTTTCTTTAGCTGATATAGGAGTCAAATGACAAAATATTACCACTCCTTCACACAACCTTGGGATACAAG